AAAAATGAGGGAGGAGATCCAATTTTTCTGATTGGAAATCATATTCTGAGAGAAACTTTAAAGAAGTTATAGAAGTGGTTTTGTTCTGTCAAATTCAAAAAATTCATATGAAAATGGCATATTTTCAATAAACTTTCTAAAACTATTTTAAGGGGCGTGGGTGGGTGAGGGTGTCGGTGTGGGTTGGGTGTGTGGGTGTGGGTGTGGGGTGTGGGTGGGGGGGGGTGGGGGGGGGGGTGGGTGTGGGTGTGGGGGGGTGTGGGTGTGGGTGCGGGTGTGGATGGGTGTGGATGTGGGTGTGGGTGAGGGTGTGGATGTGGGGTGTGGGTGTGGGTTGGATGTGGGTGTGAGTAAAGCAATTGCATGAAGAGACATCCACACCCAGACCCCACACCCACACCCATACCCACACCCCACCCACACCCACACCCACACCCACCCACACCCTCGTTTCTTGGGAGAATCTGAAGCAAAAATTCGTGCTTTATTTGCCGGCTCCCGACGTGATCAACAGATCTTAGGGGATCGAAGCAAAATTCACATTATTATTTTTGACGAGTTAGATTCTATCTGCAAACGTCGAACACAATGCGATGAATCTACGCACAGTAATGTACAAGACAATGTGACAACTCAACTACTTGCCGAAATCGATGGCCTCACGCCACTTGATAATATTCTAATTATTGGCACAACCAACATGGTGTGATCGATTGAACCAGCACTTTTACGTCCAGGTAGAATTGAGTCGGTGATAGAAGTTCCTTTGCCAGATGCAGATGCTCGTATTCATATATTTGATATTTATACAAAAGAACTATTGGAAAACGGTCTTATGGAATCTGATGTCGACATTGACAAAATTATTCGTGCAACTCACGGTCTTACAGGCGCCCACATTGAAAGACTTATTCGTTTGACTGTAACTAATGCTATGCGACGTGATGTTCTATCACGCGGTAGATTGAATATCAGCGAAGAGGAAAGTGAAAATCTACGAGTGTGCAATATCGATTTCACAAACGCTATTTCAAAAATGCTATACGCCGAACAAAAATAATTCTAGAACAATGTAAAACTACATCAGTTTTATTCTTTCCATCTTTGTATCTTCTAATAGTATAGCGATCTTCAATTTGCATGCATGATCTACTCCTAATCAATGTCCTACCTTCAATAATATCTGAACATATTTTGAATCAGCATAATCTTCTTGCTAATTATTATGTCAATGGAAAAATTCATATTTGCATGGAATGAAAAGAATAATAAGAATAAAAATAGAATAAAAATAATATCAAGTTGCATATTATCTATTGAATGATTAGATTCATCAGATAATTTCGTGATTCTTCGGAGTCTCGTACAATAGCAAGGCAAAAGTCTAAAAACTCT